GAGACGCTGGAATACTTGAACTCAGTATTGACATTTACATAATATATTGCTTATATAATATATATATATATATACGTATTAGAGTAGGGCTTCGAGACTACCAGTAAATGAATACATCTCATTATATATATATACACAAAGTGCTGGGATTGCAATCAATTCAGCTTCTTGCAACACACATAACGGAGTTAAATAACTATATCAGGTCCTCTCTTCAAGTCGTCGTTAGTGGTTGAAGTGTCCGTGCCTACTGCACCCATCTAGGCATAGTAAATTTATAAACAATTTGACCTCTGAAGGTTGGCAACAAGATGACTATTAAAATAAAAAAATTAGGATACTGAATTTCTTGGCTTTATACTGAGGTAAGTATACAAAATCAGCTAAATATCATTACTATCAAACAGAAATACGCCAGTTTACCGTGACATTCACATAAAGTTAGTTAGTAAAGATCTAAGGAAGCATTAAAATAATGAAATCAACCTAAATGGAGTTTTGATTGGTGATGGATAAAGAATAGATAAAAAAGCTTTGAAACATACAAACGAGTCAAGACTTCTAATATTTATATTAGTAACTGAGACCAAAAATAATTCATATGCCTTAATTCTGCTGAGGAAAAGTGAACTAGTGCAGATAATAAAAATAAAGATTAAGCAAGCGTGGTGATGACAGGTATATTTCATAATATTGGGTTAGATCAGAGCCAAATCAAATGTGATCTTGTACTCTGTGATCTTCGACTTGTCTAAACTATCCCTAAAATACTCTTGGACATGAAAATAATTTGAAAGGCCCAATTCCTTTATATCTGATATGTAGCCACAGCAAATCAGTGATTTAGTCTCTCGATCATACGCATAACTCTATGAAAACGCTTGGATGCATGATTATCTAGATTTGCTACGTCCTACAGTTGACTAAAGTCAGAAGCAAAATTTCTCGGTATACGAAGTAAAAACCCTAGTTGTTTGAGAAACCAGAAAGATAGCATTTAACATCTGTTCCTGAAGGGTAATGGCCTGGAATGGTCACACTACTAAGAGTTAGATCCAATGTGGCTTCAGAAGGAAGCAGACATAAGGTTGAAGAGTAACTGGGTTTCGATGAATCTCCTGAGATAGCATTATTGCTGGGACTTTCATTTCGTATTAGTGTGAGATCAACCTACAAATCTCTTCTTCATACACTTTTATACGAAATAAAAGTCCCAGCAATAACTAAGCAAGGACATAAGGTAGTCCTGGCATAATAACAATTCGAATAGGAGGAACTCAAAATGGAGACCAAAAGTTGAGCAGAACCTCTGGAAATTTAACAATTCAACGGATCAACTATAAGCGAACCCATGAACACAAAGGCAATAGATAGAACACATGGAATATTATGAAGCTGCAAAAACGAGGTAGCCAAGTACACTCAACCAAAAGAGAGCAGGATCCCATAAGAGTATGCTGACTCGAATTCCACAGTAGAATTGAAAGTAATCATGAACGAGACCAGAATATTAGAGTTGCTATGCTTCAATCAACTGAAAGAGAGTAGTCAAGATGGAAAAGCTAATTATTAAGACAAAAGATAATTTAAAAGGAATCAAAAGCTCACTTCCTCTTCGATCAACCGCTTTTGGCGAATAAGCTCAGCCTTAGCACGACGCCTGGATTCTCTGGCTTCCTTGGCAGCCTGATTAGCTTGCTGGATGCGCGGATCAAGTTCGTAGACCTCACTTACGAACTTACGGACACGCTTGTTTTCTTCTGTCTTGCGACGAATACGCTCAGCCTTATTTTGTCGGTCAATATAACGACGATGATTTCGACTAAAAAGAACAATGTTTACAGGAGGATAACATTAGGAAGACGAACTCATTATTCGAAGTTTTTAGTATAGCGGCCGAATTTTAGCTTTGCTTGCAATCTATATACTTTGAGGACATTATCATGCACAGGCGACAAGATCCAGTCACATTACATAAGTGACACAACACAGCCAAAGCAGCTGCACATGCTGGTGATCGGATTCCCTAATTCATTACCAAATAGATAGAATCAGTTTGACTAGCATATCTCTACACACATATCAAAGGAGATTAAAAGGATAGGTGAGATTTAAAATTTTGGCTAGGCACATCACTGTTTTGACCATAACTGGCTTTTTGCCTTTCTCATTTTCCAGATGAGCTTCCACGATCCTCATAGTTAGGAAGGGGGTCTAGTTAAAGCGTTAGTGCATTTGAAACCC